GCGCCAAGAGACGCCGCCGAGCGCTGGCTGCGCGTCTCGCGATGATCCGATCGTTACGGCCATTGATTCCGGGGGGGGGGGGGGGCGAGAGATCGAGGCGTAATCGAGTGGCCGGCTGCTCGTCCCGCAAATACGGAGCATATTGCGAGCGACGAGCCGGCGCGTGCCGCTGAGAGCGCTGCTTCGAGTTGCGCTCGGCGGCGGCACTGTTTGCGCAGCCGGGACCAGAGCGCGCTGTTCATCTCCTCGACAATACCGCCCTCGTGCGGTTTGCTGATCGGCCCTCGCGCTCCGAGATGCGTCCCGACGACTTTGCGCCAAGCGACACCGACTCGGACCGATCGCGGGCCCGGGATCGGTCCGACACTGGAAGCCGCTCGGCACTCGATCCATAAAAATGGACAAGCACGAGGACTGTAGCCAGGCGCGCCAGCCGCCTCGTCGATCGCCGATGCCTGGCCTTTCAATTGGTTGCACGCGAGGAAAGCTAATGGACCGGCGTGCTTTCTACAAAAAATAAAGAAACCGAAGTGCGCGCGCGCGCGCACGACTCGACCGGGCCCGCGCTGCTCATTTTCCAGGACATTGATTTTTCCTGAAAGCCAGGGGCGGACAAGAGCGCTGCTCGATCGACGGCTGCCATTTTCCGTCGGGCACGCAGCTCCCGTTCCAGGAACGGCGGTGCACAGGCGCGCGCGCGCGCGCGTACTACAGGTCCGTCGAAAGACCGCGGCCGAGGCTGCGTGCACGGCGCGTCACAATGGAAACGCGAGCCGGTCTCGGAACGGACTTGTTTAGCGAGCCGCCGAGAGTTCCGCTAGCGCCTAAAGTCGCCGTCGAGGCTGCGGCTTTTGTGACCGGGGTCGCCGAAAGCGCGAGCGGCCCGACACGGATCGCGTGCCCGGTTGTTCGTCGCGCGAATTGGCCGCCTTGCGCAAGCCCAGCGCTGCCCCTCGCGGCCAGTCGGTCCTACGGGGCGAACGTCCGTAGCGGTGGCAAAGAAGCGTCGAGCGATCGGACAGAGGCTGCTGCGACTGGCCGCCAGCCAACCGACAAGAGCAATTTGTCAGAGGCCACTTGGCCGCTGCGCGAGCGGAGCAGCCGGCAGCAGCTCGCAACAAAACGCTCGGGCGTTGAATGAGCTGCTAGCTGGAAGAGACGAAAGCGTAGGCGCGCGACATATGTTTCCGTGTCTTTGCCTCGCGCGCGCGCGCTTCATTCGGCGAGTCACTGGCGCGTGCTCCGCGTCGTTATTGATGACGAGTAACCTCTTTGTCCGCCACGTTTTTTTCCTTCGGCCAGCCCCGAGCCCGGCCGATTCGCTTCGCGACCATTATGCTGTTTATTGCTGTTGTATGTCATTCCAATAATTTGAGCGTTCGAGCTGGGCGTCACCGGCTCGCTCGCCTCCCAAGATGTCCCCGTGCGTGCACCTCCCTTTTATGACTCTCGCGATGCCAATGCGACCTGTCACATTTTTAAATACTTCTCCACTCGCTATCCGACGATTACCGAGCTCAGAGTAGTTACGTTGCTCGGCAGCCAACGCATAATTGCCCATTTTGACGCCTCGCGTCGGATCGAACGTTAATGCGATCGCGTCTAGCGCGCCCATCTCCGAGCGCTGACAATGCATCGCTATATTTCTCAGTTGTCGCAATTTTCAAAACACAACTCACGGGCCATACTATAGGGGATCTACAATATGGTCAAATCGATGGAGTGCTACTTTTTCTCTCTCTCCCCACATTCTTGCTTGTCGACTTTGTCGTTCTCGTGTGCGTTTAGTTTTTCAAGCTCGCGGAGGCTAGTAGGCGCCAGAAGTATACGTCTTCGGGAGAAGATAAGCTTTTGAGACGATCTCGTTTGAAAATCACAAGAAAATTCGCTCGATGCGCGTGCATCGCTCATGTGGTTGTTGCGAAAGGACAATAATATTACGAATTCAAACATACTGCAGAACCTCGCGTACGGTTGGCGCGTAACAATGGCTATTTCGAAAGTTTCTCCGCAGAGGACTGTTATTAATGACTCCGCGTCCGAAACTGGAATGGCCGCGGGCCTGTAGAGATGGTAGCTGAATTAATTGCGTCGCCGAGCGGCAGCATAGTAATGTCGAACAATAGTATACAACGGATACACATAAGCAGCGAGAATCATTGCTATAAGTATATCGTGTGAGCCCCTCATCGAGTGTCTTATATTAGCGCTGCGAAACGTAGCAGCCAGACAGGCGTGTAGACACACAGAGCTTGGTTATGTATGTAGCTAAGCCTTCGTTTTGCTGAATCGATACATTGATCGCATCTTGAACGCGGAAAGTGTAACTGCGTTCATTTTGCGGCTTTCAACAAGTCCTATTAGCGTATAGGTATACGCCGACCGTATCAATATAATCTTACCGAGGCAATGTTGAGAGCTCGCATGCTAGAAGGATTCAAATCGAATTTCCGGATGTCCGATAGACGTATGCCAATTTCTCGCGCACCACGTAGCCAATTGCGTTAATAAAATGCCTGCTTTTTTCCCGCGTAAAAAATGGTTAAGCGATACAAGAAGAGTTTCAATCATCGGCTCACTTTTTTCCTGGTACATTTTGAGAAAAGCGAGAGTGGTAACGCTGTAATAAAAAAAAAAGAGAAAAAAACGATGAGATGACGATCTACATTCGACAGAGCACAAAGTTCGCATCAGATCACATTGAAGACTTGGCTAAATAAAATAATACGATGCATATACTCTGCGACCGTTCGGTTTGATGCGACCGAAGAAGAAGAAAAAGAAAAAGAATCAATAGCAAATAATAGGAGGTGCGCGTGATTTGACGCACCGATACATTAACTCAACTCATGATAGACAAGCAACGCGCATTGTTAGTCAGTCGGCAAAAATCCGAGCATAACGGGGCAATTGAAAGATTCATCCGAGATTGGTGCGACAGTGGTAGCTGTTCCCTCCGTATTGCAAAGCACTCGAGCATGCACTGAAGCGCGATTTGTGTCTTAGGAGCCACGCCTCCCGGTGCAGGCTGCGCCATAAGGACCAGTTTTCGACTGGAGAAACCAAGCAACGGATTTCGCTGGTCGGCCGTCGTTCATTCGCCACGGCGCGCGCACCTTTTTTGCGCTCTCTCACACTCGAGCGCGCGACAATCGACGCATCGCCTTTGAGCGCGCGACACTCTGCGAGTAGCGAGCCGCTAGCCCGGGGGCGGCCTCGTTGGCTTTCGTCACTTGGCCTGGTGCAAGTCGCGCGAGCAACCCGACGCGGCGGTGGCGAGTCCAAATAATCATCCAGGGACCAGCAGGAGTAGGCGGACGCGCTTGTACGAGGGCTGTGTGAACGTTGTAGCCCCATCGTAATCGTGCTGTCTCTTGTTATAGATTCCTTACGCTTATAAACATTTACGTCGCCTGTTGCCCGCACAGCCTCGTGGATATCGCATTTTCGACTGTTCGCGCCGGCGCCCGGCATTTCTATATAGTTACCGTCAAATCTGTGGAATCGTGTGTCCCGCTTGTAACGGAAACAGCTCATAATTTCAGCGTCGCAGTATCGATCGCAGCGGCACTCGGCAGCATACATAGGCTGCGACTGCAATACCCTTCGGAACGAAGAAAGAATCGTGAATTTTCTTCGAAAAGACCGTGGGTACCGCCGTTCGACATTGAGACCGCAATGAAATTGCGACGAGCTAACTGGCCAGTTGGTCGATAAAACCAGCCGATGGAAGAACTATTCATCGACGCAATTGCAAACGGCCACGGCTCAAGCTTTTAAGCTCCATGATGCTCAGACCACAAACTGTTTCTATCGCACGGAAATAGACTACTGCTATAGCAGTATCGAGCGCTTGGATAAGCGCTCGGAGGCTCCTCTTGCGTAGACGTAGGTACGAACAGGGATCGCCAAGATGCGAGTTGCAGTTGCCGGCCGACGAGCGGATCGAACGGCAGCTGCGGCGCGCACTGCGCGCTCGACAACGATCGCAAGGCAATTACGAAAGCAGCGCGTGCGTCGACAGCTCGGCGAGCGCGAACCGTTATCAAATCAAGCGAATCGACGCGACGTTTCGACGGACCGCAGACTCGGAGCGCTAATTCGACGATGTCGCGCTCTCGATTGGCCGATAGCCGGAATAACGTGATTCGGTGTACTGAATATTCGCGATGCGGGGCCGTATTGCGCGCGCCCGAGCGCCGACTAATTAGATTGCAGCCCGCCGTCGCTCCGCGGCTTATTGTAAACGAGCCGCTCCGACCTCGTTGCAATTTTTGCCTTTTTTCCCTCGTGTCCCACCACGCGCGCCACAACTTCTCTTACGGACCGCACACGAGTTGGCTCTACATGACGAAACTGACCGCCGCGCAGGGTGAACAAAGAGAAGTACGCTGATTAGATTCGGTGGATCCGACGAATCTAATCCGATCACTGGCTCCGGCGCAGCTAGCTGAAACTGGCGATGCACGCGAGTCGATGGTCGTCGCCTCGCGAGGACCCGATAATAAGCCTCGAACAACGAGTAGGCGGCACTCGCCATTTCCGCAGGCTTGCCCCACCACCTTTGATCCGGTGCAACAGTGAAATGTAAATCAAGCTGCAGCCCGCTTGCGTGCATTCCGACTTACCGAGCCTCTTTGGGTCAATGGCTCGCTCGTTCGCGACAGGACAGCCTCGGCGCACTCAGTTTTCTTGGACTTTTTAGTCCGCGACGCAGCGTCGACCAACAATTCGATTATCGACGAGGCAGGTTTAGCATCGTTTGCAGAGCTCGCTTGTGCACGCTGCTCACGGTGTCTAGAGTTTCATCTAAATGCAAATGCACTCCAGCGTACGTACGGGGTGTCTTTGCGGCAACAGCCAGCCGAGCTGAAACTCGGCCTAAACTTTATTTGCGAGAGCAAAAGATCCTCTAGTGAACCAGTAGCACATGCCCAGGACGAGTGATGCGAGTGGTCGATTGATAAACGAACGCCCAGATTCAATATATTATCTTTATTTCATCATATAACTTGTTAACATTGATTGATATGGTTCCCGTGGTAAGGGGACTATTACACGTGTATTTACATAATAAATATAGTTGTCATATGCAACTTTGCATACGCCGATCTGGACTGCGTACAATAAATATAAGTTCGCACGCACGCACACGCACACACACACGCACACACACACAATCTGCTCGGTCGGTCACTCGGCAGTTCGGCACTCTCGCTTAATCTACGTAATCGTAACGTTGTCAAGCCTTAGATCAATACCGCACGCCGACTACTGTGGGATAAATTGATAATAATGTTGAAATGGAAGAAACAACCTGTACCTGTGTACGTTGATACATGCAACGACTACTTTTTGTTGATGTAAAAAAGATAGCTTATCGGCAAAGCCGTCGTGAGTGAACTTATGCGATAAGTGTTAGACATTGGTTGTTAATAGAATATGTAAAAGGAAGAATCGTAAGCCGAAAGTTTGGTATAAATGGGAACATCTCGTGGCGTCAACTCCGTGATTTGCAGTTGACTGTCGACTAACTGTATTTGATATCTGTATATAAATTTGCCATAGAGAGCGGTACGGGATGTAGACCGTAGTAGACAAGTGCTCTGTTCGCCGGCAATTTCGATGGATATCCCAGTAAAAAATGTGTAGCTTGCCCCGAGCCTTACCTAATCAATTGCGTGTGCGCGCGCGATTAGGAGTCGAGCTGAACGTTTGGACCCATGAGAGTGCTGTTATAAAATTAAAAGTGCGTCTACAATGGTGACTACGCTGACATTGAATTATACACGACACATGCTATGCACTAGGCTCGTATCCTATTTGCAATTATTAGAATTCCTAATGTACACAGAGTGACGAATCCGTTGCAGTTCGTAAAAAAGGCGCTCGCAGTTGTCGATATTGACGCACGCTATTGTACTCGAGGCAGAAACGATAGACATTATTTGTGCTGAAACGAGCACGGAAGTAAACGATGAGAGTATGGCTGTTGCAGGGCCAGGCGCGTTGGCACTATCAATTAATTGCAACCTCGTTTTCGCTCGCAAACAGCTGCTTATCGCGCCATCCGTCCATCGATAATGTACATTACTGGCCGAATCAGAGCTATAATTAGATTCCAGCAGTGGCGAAAAACAATCGAGTACATTATGCAGCCAATAGTTCGTGTCTGTGTGCGCTCTTATGGCCTTGCCAGCTTCGTTTGAAAAAAGTGTTGGTTTGTTTGGTACCCGTGATAACCGCTATAGTCCAAGTAAAAAATATTCGTCCGATAATTTCTCGGCGAGTAGCGCCGCGCTACGTCGCTTACTATCCTTCTTATCGAGGATTTGGCGTTAAATTAACCGCGAAAAATATGGTGTTCGATCTTCAATTCTTGAATTTTCAAGCTACGTCTTATTACGTCTTATTACGTCTTATTACGTCTTATTACTTGTATACTTGTTCACTTAATCTCTAAATTTTTAAAAATCTGGACCACAATGTTTATGAACAATCACAATGTACGCTGCCGTTATATACAGTTTTCTTCAAAAATTTCTTCCAACAACATAACGTGCCTAGCTATATACTGGTTTTCACGTATAAAAACTTTTGATGCTTGTGCAAATAGAAAGATACTTTTCTAAGAAAATAAGTTTTTCAATTGAACGAATTCATAACAGTCTTTAAAATCTATCCGTGTCCTCAAAATAGACCAACGACCAATGCGGCACATCATCTCACCAGCATCCCCTGCAAACTTCTCGTCTTGCACTTGCTTCCATTTCTCTTGGCATTGCTCGCGAATTCTCGCACAAATAAATCGGCTTCGACTAAAGCAACGAACGAACTCGAAACGTTTTGCTATTCTACACGCATTATCAAACGTAAGCAATATTGTAGAATCTACGCGCACTCGCGAGTTGTTCACACGGTATAGGACATAAAAAATAACGATTAGCTTTTTTTTTTATTTATCACAACCATTAGCACTCTATACCTCCATTCATTATTCAACTAAGCCTATATTGTTTACTACTTCTAACGACCAGCTGCCTATCAAGGGAATATAAACGTCGATTCAGTTACACCATAGACAAAATCTTACATCGCAAGATATATATTACAAGTTATCAGACTTATAAGACAAACTACTAGAACAAAGAAACGAATTGGATCGTTAATCAAAGAACCAATGTGTCGAAAACACAGTTGTATTTTGATATAAAGCGTGTGCCATAGGTTAAAATGCATCGAAATAGAGATAAGATCATCGGAATGCAGTTAACATTGAAGAAATATATTCATTCGTTAATCCGAATGCGAAATGGAATGGAATGAAATAGAATGTGAAATGGTCGCTCGGTTTTAAACGGATATATTATATAAAAGCTTTGAGTGGTTGGATGGAGCTACGGCGCACTTAATGTACCATATTTTCTCTACACAGACTATTCGTTATCTGCTATACGTAACGTACTTGGTTATTTAAAAGGATATATTTTCAGGAGATGATTTTCGCGCGAATGCTCAATCAAGACCAATGAAAGCTGAGCAGCGTAAATATAGGACTTGTGTAGACAGGAAAATGTCAGAAGAAGTAAGAGATGGGCTGAGTATGCAGCACTTGCCGATTAAATGGGTCTCCGTGGAGGTAGCACACGGCAAGAAGACAGCAGCTAGTGGACTGCTACTCGTAGCTACATCAGAACGTATGGCGGTGGTGCAGAGGGACGGACAGAGAGTTTCAAGTGCTGCGAGTCTAACAACCAATCGATACGCGCGCGCGGCCGTCTGTAATTTAGAAACTCGTCTGCATCTGGATTGCAGAATCGATATTGCAAATTAGAACGAGCAAACGCGTCCTGAATTGTGGATATTCATTGTTCTCCAGTCGTGAAACCGACTGGAGGAGCGCTACGGCAGACGCAAGGAGAATGGATCTACGATCTGGAGGTTAGCGAGGCGCGTCGGTACGAATTCGCCGAATAACGCAAGTCAGCTTGCGGAGAACTAGCGAGGGCGAGGCTTGTCTTCCCTTGATACGTGCAGCGCTACGCACCGATGCCTTCGGTCGCGTCGTTACGAGCTAATAGGTCACGTGGAAGCTGTGGCACTGGCGCGGCCGCACCTCGGCAACAAGAGAGGGGGGGGGGGCAAACCGCGGAGTGTCCGCGAAAGCTTGCCGCGACGCGCGCGTCCGCTCGCTGCATCGATCCCGCGGCCTCCTCGAACGCAGCGCGCCGATCGCGCCGATCATTCTCCGCTGGACACTCGGCAGCCCAAGCCCAGTTGGACGCCCGCGAGGATCGATAACGCCCCGCTTGTTTGTCGCTTCTTCGCGGCACCTTTGTTTGCTCGACGAGGCGGCTGCCAATGCACCGATGCCTCGTCGGATCCAGAACTGAACGGCCGTCGTCTCTGGGCTGATGGCGGCGCTCGACGCCTGCAGCTCGCCAGCGCCTCGCGCTCGCAACAGAAACACTATGAAAATTGGACTGCCGGGAGCGGGGCAGGCGACGACGCGGGCTTCCGAAAGCCTTTGTTGGATAAGAAGGAGAGAAGCCCAAACGCCTCGCCATACATCCTTCGCCGTCTTGTCGTTCGAATCAACGCACCCGCCGCGCCGACATTTCACGCTTTCGTGCATTGTTCCAAAACGAACTCCCAAACGAACGAAACGCGAACTTCTAATAAACATCTCGCGATATACATTTCGCGTATCTATACGAGCCATCGTTATGGAACTGGACTTGATCGATGTAACGCTGACGACCAATACGTCGTACAGAGTAATTGACACTTTTCTCGCGAAAACGCGCTAAACGTACATGGCCCTACCTCGGATCGCTTCGCCGTCGCTCTGCTTACCCGAAGCTCGGCAAATAACTACAGCCGACAGTGGTGATCTACCTCTGGTGTAGGCGCGACGATGCAGCTCGCGAAAGGCTTATCGCCCAAGGCGACCTACGAAGTTGTCTGATATAGCCAAGACTATACTCTTGTGCCTAGCAAAACTGCAAGTCGATTGACGGCGGCTCTTGGCGTGCTTGCATGTCATTACGAGCGTTTGCTCGATCGACCAATCGCGGGACTCGTGGAAAGCTGGAAAAAGATGTCGGGCCTCGCAGCGAGCGACCGAACTGAGTGGCCCGTTTGAAAGCGTTCAGACGCATTGATCCGTCGACCTTGAATAATCGCCAGGTCGCACCCGGCTGCCGGCTTGTGCGTTAATTGGCTCTGGAAATAAATGGGATCGATCGAGGCGCGAAGAGAGCAACAAGGCAGACAGCTCGACAGCCCGCTGACGGCAAACCAATCGATGAGCGAGACAAGAGACGCCAAATTAGCGACCCATAATAGCCGCGAACTGTGCAAAGCTGTGCGAAGAAGAAGACGGTTGAACGCATCGCGCTCGCGACTCGCGGACGCTCGGAGGAACAGTTACGTCCGCTGGATGGACGAGAACACGAAGCAGCTGGGAGGCGGGATGAGAGGTCTCGGGCCAGAGACTCGCGCAGCCAGGACCGGGCGAGGAACGGCGAACGCGGAAGTGTGCAGCTTCGTTGGTGTTTACCCGTAGCAGCGTGACGCGCAGCTCGGCAAGTGGCGAGACGAAGGGCTGTGGCGTGTGCCAACTCTGCCGATCGTTCAGAGTTGGATGATGTCGGGCGCGCGGAACTGCACCTTACTGGAGTACTTGGACTCGACGTCGGTGGTGGTGGCCGGCCGGGGAACCAGCGCGAGCCTGCACTCGGGCATCGCCTCGCGCTCCTCGCGCTCCGGCTCCTCGGCCAGCTCCTCCAGCAGCGGCCCGTGTCGGAGCAAGCTGCTGCCTCCGCCTCCGTCCTCTCGCGGCTGCTCCTTCCTCGTGCGCGTCGAATGTCTTGGTTATTTGTACCTGCAATCACAACCAGAATCGCCGGAACCTCGTGTTAGCGCGATCCTTCGCCTCTTTCTTTTGCCATGGGCCTCGATCTTTCGCGCTGCGCTCGTGTAGGCTTGGACTCGGACACCATTTAGCGCCTCATTGTTCTCGAAAATTTTTTCCATTCGACTTATAACACAAAGATCAACACAAAGTCCATAGCAAGCTTGCAGGTGCATCGTCTGTTTTTCGACTCTCCTTCGAAGTTTCGAAACGAAAAATAATGTTCCTTTTTGAAAATTCTTTGACAAAGTGGCGCAAACAATTTTCGTTCTTTAATATTTCAGTATTCTTACTCATTTTCAAATGAAATGGAAAATACACACGGACTCCCTATGCTTGCCATCGATTTTTGCCTGCTTAAGCATGCATCTTCAACTAAAAGTGACCGCCGGTTCTAACTATAGGTATGTAGTTTATCTCTAGTTATTCGATATTGCCTATGTTTCCGGTTAAAAACAAAGCTTTTCGTGCTTTTTAACTAATGAGGCACTCGAGTATCAATAAGAGCAAGCGCTTTTTGTCGAAGGGTATGCAAGGTTCTCAAAAAGGTCACGTGTCTCTAGGGCATTTCAAATATCTGGAAATGATACGCCATGTGTATGAGGTACTTTTAACAATTATCTAAATTCTACTGAATTTACATGAAAATCTATACTGAAGGTTCCTTTAGTGGTGAGTTTTAGCTCTTGTAAAGTCGTAAAACGATTGTCACGAGCATTCCCAGTTATATTTTTCTCTCCGAAACCTCATAAAATAATAAAGTGAAAAAATGACGAGCGCACAACATTTCCGAAATTTTTCAAGAATTGAATCTCCAATCAATCGATTTTTCCTACAACACTCTACGACGATTTATGGCAAAAATGTTAAAGATCATCCCAAGTAATTTGAGGTGAACAAAAGTTCCGTGACGATATTTTTAGTAGAATGGTTTTTCATTGCCAACAAAGCAAACTTTTCATTTCAGTGTTTTATACCGATTGGCCCCATAAAAATATCCTCGTAAAAACAGTCTTATTGTAAGTAAAAATGCTTTGTTGAATTAATGCTAATAAAAACAAGTGGCATTCAGAGCAATTGCATTCAAATTCATTGTGTTCTCTACATCAGGCCAATATAACAAAAAAGACAGATTATCGAGTTTTATGTAATTGCATGACCCACTTTCTTATCTTGCTTTATACGTCAATGCAACATTTTGCAAGGATATTTTTTAGTAAAAAGTAGAAGCACACGGGATTTTCGAATAAACAATTTTTTGCCGCATAATTATGTTGTCTGCATTACATCAACGATTATCACGTTCGTGGAGTTTACTCGAGTTAGCGCGCAGCAAACAGTCGGGCCCATCGACATTTTTGATAACGGCAGCCGACATACAAATTTGAACGTGAAAGCGGAGCGTGCGGATAACTGAAATAACACGACCGGCCGTGGGGTTTCCGGCGAGAAATTCGAGTTGATTTAGCAAAACAATGGAGCAATTGGTGCAGCGCGCCAGAGCGACGTAAGTCGACATTGCGTGGTGCACGTAAGCTTATAAGGGCGTGCAGCGAGTCGCTCGCGCGAAACCTGAATTCGAAATGAAAAGCGCCGTGCTTTAATTGCATTTGGGGGGCGAGGCTGGCAGGGCGCCGCACGCACGGCGATTCGGCCTGACTGCCGCGGCAACCGAGTCTCGGCAAGCAAATCGTCCGCGCGAACGCGAACCGCGCGGTCCCGCGCGGCTGTACGGAGAAGCCAACCTTTCTGGCCAGGGGCAGGCTAAAATCCTGCAGAACAGCAGGCCCAGGCCGATCAGCAGGCTGACCAGCATGACCAGGTAGACGACGGCGAGGTGCAGCAGCGAGAACACGTAGAGGGTCTTGTGACACCAGCGATTGGGCTCGAACAGCGTCGGCGCGTAGTCGGGCCACCGTATGCTCAGTATCCAGTAGTTCCCTGCAAGCAGCCACGACGAGGAAACGCTAGCCACCAGGCGGCTCGCCGGCGCTGCGCGGTCCTACCGAGGGCGAACCAGCCGACGAGGAAGCAGGAGAGGGCGATCGATGCGAGCCCCGTGGGCGACAGCTGCGACCTGGAGCCCGGCACCGTCAGCACCTCCGGCCGCCTCGAGCGTATCTGCGAGTACAGCGTCCAGAACATGCGGATGCTGCCGAGGCTGCCGCCCACCAGCATGTAGACCGGGATGTGCGGCTCCCGCGGGCAGTCCCTGACGAACTGCACACCTGCAAGCCGAGCGACACTGGGGCATCGATGGGCGGGCCGGCGGCCGGCGACCTACCGAGGATGAGCATGACGATGGGCATGGCGGAGAGGAGCGCGAGGAAGACGGTGACGGGCGTGGTCTTGCCGACGACCCGCAGGGCGCGCAGCGCGAAGTCGCAGCTGCCGCTGGCCTCGAGGTGCGCGTCCTTCAGCTGGAAGACCAGCGAGCCGTAGGCGGCGACGCCCACCGGGCCGGCCGGCCCGCTCGCCGCGCCCGGGCCCTGCTGCAGGCCGCCGACATTTTTGCATAAATATGGCGCGCCCTCGCACAGCCGCCGCGACTCGTCGCCTGAAACCTGACGGCGGCCCGCGCTGTACTGGCGTCCGTGGCGCTCGCGGCGGCGAGGCTCACCTGCGAGACCGAGCTGCTCGGCCGCCTGGACTCCGGCCAGCCGTAGGCGAGGCCCGCCTGGGCGGCGCCCGCGCCGCCTCGGCCGCTGGCCGCCGCCGGCGCGCCGCTGCTGCCGCTGCTGGTCCTGCTCTTGGCCGCGCCTGCCGACCAGCGGAGCTGCCTCAGTGCCGTGCGCCGGGTCGCGGTCCGCGCTCGCGGCGGGTCGCCCGGGCCTGGCAGCTGTCCCCAGTGACTGCGCGCGCGTCGTCGCGATCGGCGTGCTCGAGTCGCAACGCAGCGGACGGCTTCGGCGGAACGATATCTCCGGCTATCTCCGGTTTCCTTCGAGCTTGCGCGCAGCTTCTGGCTAATTTAAGCTCCTGCTAATTCACTTGATTACTTGGGATACCGAGGCTGAGCGAACGTGCGTACGCTGGCTCGAGTGTTTTCTCTGCTGGCGATGCCTCGAGTAGCTGTATAAATTAGCACGTAAACAACTATCTTGCCGGGCGCAAGACTCTCGAGTTAACGAGCGGGGCTCCGAAAATTCAGGCGCCACGGAAACCATTAATCTGAATCAGAAGTGCCTGCAACCGGGTAAGTTTCGACGCGAAGCTGCTCCTTCAATTCGGCTGTTTGCCAAGCCAAAGCACTGACTGCGAAAAACTCTCTCCATCCGAGACTTACACAGTCAGCTTGGAAAGGTGTCAATGACAAGCAGCTATTCCGACGGAATAACGAAGTGAATCCGAATCAGCGAGAAGTCGCAGGACTTGAGTGATCGAGACGCGCGAAGCGTAAAATTACCCCATCTAAATGTAGCGCGAGGCTGTTGACTCCGTGCAAGAACATTGGCCGGACGAAGAGCGTCTTTCGTTTCACCTGTCACGTTATTTCAATGAAAAAGTGAATTAAAAATCAAACAAGTTACACATTTAAACCGACAATAACGCACGAGTACTTTGATCGTTCGCTAAGCGCATTGTTCGTAGCAACTGCTCAAAGGTATTCCGAAAGGTTTCCCTAAAAGGCTACACTGCGCCGAAATGGCCGAGCACGAAGGCTGATAACGATAAGAGAGATCGTAAAGTCGAAGTCACAAAGCCGCTACTCCGACGCGTAAGGGTACCCACATAACATAACCAGTAAGTTTTAGCGCTAGCAATCGTCTGCAGAGCCTTTCCCATATGCAGCTCGCACGACGTGCACCTGGAGATGATCAACCGAATCAGCGGCGTACTGGGAAAATCAGTAGCTATTCCGGCCAGTGAACGTTCGACTCGGACTGGCGGATCCGTTGTGGAATTGGTCTGGAGCTGGTTTTGGGCGGCACGACGCTCGGGGCTCGCGCGTGACTCCGGCCAGGCCGAGGTTCGCCGAGCTAACGAGAGCGCGGACACCGGAGTGGCATCGCGACGGAGAGGAGCCCCGAAATTGGCTCGGTCGCACGCGACGCGGCCCGAGAGCCTGCTCGATCGATGGAGCGCCAGGTGCGGCCGCGAGGGTACTCACCGTGGTCCTGGGAGTGCCTCCTGGGCTCCTGCTGCGCCGGCGCGTAGACCTGCTGGCCCGGCCACGGCCGCCTGGCCGACTCCTGGCCGAGGCACAGGCTGCCGCGCGGGCTGCGCTCCAGCTCGGCGCCGATGCTGCCGCGCGGGCTGCGCGCCGCGGGCGCCGCGGGCGGCTCGTCCTCGACGCCGCCCAGCGAGCCGCGGTGGCCGGCGACGCTGCCGCGCGGCGACCGGCCGGCCAGCGCCTCGTACGGGGCCACGGAGCCGCGCGGCGAACGGCCGCCCGGCTCCGGGCAGACCGAGCCGCGCGGGCTCTGGCTCGCGCACTCCGAGGCGATGGAGCCGCGCGGGCTGCGTTCCTGCGAAGCCCCCGGTCGGTAAGCCTGCCGGCAGCGGCCGCGCGGCGCAACCCACCTTCAGGTCCATGGGCGAGACGCTGCCCCGCGGCGAGCGACAGGCGGCGGTGGCCGCGGCGGCGGCGGCCAGCTCCGGGCAAACGGAGCCCCGGGGGCTGCGCTCGGCGAAGTCGATGTTGGCGAGGCTGCCGCGCGGACTCCTGGGCGCGGCGGCGCTCTCGGGCACCAGCGAGTGCCGCGGGCTGCGCCCGGCCTCGGGCAGCAGGGCGGTGCGCGGGCCGCGCCCGTAGGCGCCGTCCAGCGGCACCAGCGAGTTGCGCGGGCTCAGCGACTGCGGCTCCGGCACCAGCGAGTGCCGCGGGCTGCGCGGCGTCGCCTGCGGCACCAGCGAGCCGCGCGGGCTGCGCGCGCCCTGCGTCCACTCGTCCGGCAGCAGCGAGTTGCGCGAGCTCCTCGTCGCGTCGGGCGCCAGGCTCAGGCGCGAGGCGCTGAACTGCTCCGGGTCGGGCAGCAGCCTGCGGCTGAACATCTGCAACCGACCAGCCCGCCCTGCACGACCTGCTGCACAACCGGGGCCCGGCTGCTTGCGCTCCTCCCCCGTTCGAGGCAGTGATTATTGCTTTCCGGCTCGCACGCCGGAAATCAATCGTTACTCCGATCGAGTCTTTCGATTACAGCACTGTCGCGTTGCTTGGCTCTGTTATTCTTATCAAATCCAGTACGCGAGCGGCGCGTTAAGGTTTCCCAACGAAACCAATGACAATGCGTTTCTTAAATATTACAGTCCTCCCGCAACCACGTCGCGCAGCGTTCTAACAAGGAACGTGAGACAGCCACGATATGAATACCTTCGCTTCGATGTTTTCAGTCGCTCAGTCCGTATCGAGCATTTAGTAAGTTGAGCAATGATTTTACATGTCAAAGACAAATTTAAAAATATGCGCTTCAATCGTGTCGGCTTATGCTAATGAACGTAATATTTGACAGCGTTGCAATCAAGATCGAGATCGCGTCACCGACGGGATCGACGAGAAATTCATTTGCTAACCCTGATAATTCAGAAATAAATAAGTTTTAAAAGATTGTGCCTTTTGTGTTTGTGGTATTGTATAATAAATTTTAGATGCTGAATTTTAGAAAAATTAACTTTACATCGTTCTTATGTTGTTGTTACATGGAATAAAGATAGAAAAGACGATTAAAAATTTAAGCGTTAACGATTTTAAGAAGATATCGCGTGGGAATATTACTGCTACTGCCGACAACATAGCCAAATTACGTGATTGCCTTGTGAGTGCAGATGATAATGATACGATTGTTCGAGAACGGCTATCGTAAAAAGAAGCGACTTAGCGAAGTGAAGTGCGAGCGACAGACGTGGAGTACACTAGGCTACAAATCAATGAGTTGGCAGAAGCGTTGCAATCAATAGCGTCGATCACTCTTAACAAATAATAACACAGCTGGCAATTAGAATATCAAAACAGACGACAGGACAAAAAGAAAATTATCTAGGGAAGCAGCAGCAGCAGCAGAGCATTAGGACAGCGGAAGGATCAAGGCAACTAACAAATCGGCAACAGCGAGAAACCTAGCCACGGCTGAGTGGAACGCCGAGTGGAACTTCCAATTCTTCTCCACATTCCACATGCACCGACCTTATTCGCATGTTACGATTAACGCAATCGCAGAATAAATTGATTATTCTAGCAGCCATAGCGAAACATGTGAAAGCTGATTGCGGGAATTGACAATGAATCTGCGAAAGAAATTTGAATTTCCTCGAAAATTTGAAACACATCAACCGTTTGGACTCTCACCTAGAATGCTTTCTTTTGCTGAATAACCGATATAAAAAGCAGCATCGACGATTTATTGAAATGTGTTACAATTGGATCAAGCGAGTCAGAGTATTCCAGATATGGTTACCGGTGGAATATGCGCGCACACATGGAAAGGCACAACAATGCCGAAAAGTCATGGATACTTTTGATCTACTGTTTTTATGGCACTTTCCTTCGGATCCAAAAAGCAAAGACGAAAGAACGAATGCAGCGGTCAGCCAGTTCGACAACCTACTTGGATTTGGGCATACATACATATCGTATTCAGCTGCGAATAGTATCAAGTATTATTCATCGAAACTCAATCACATTCGTATCCAATATCAATGTTTGCATCACATTTGCCAATGTGTCTTTTATACTAACGAATATAATCTGAGTGAATAAATATTAACTGCATATCAATGAATTATTAACTCACAAAATGTATACGCAAGAAAAATAGTAAAGTAATAATGTGTATCAACTATCGAACACTAAATAACATAATACATGTATATAATTAAAGCAACTTTCTATTATAAAAACAAGTTCCAAAAACTATCGAATTTTGAATTTAAACTATAACAGAAGCCGCATATCCGAAATGCAATATTTTTTTGCTGAATTTCAATTGAAACACAATATCTTTTTTTGAAAGCTGAAAAACATCACTGATCAACATCGATCTACCTATAAAAATGAGGAAAATTTCTTTCCAAGACGATTGAGCGATATTATCCGCTCACCACTCCATATGTTGGGGGAGTATTTCTGCGAGACATTCGTATTATCCCATTCCGAAATATTGCGTGTTTCCATGAATCGAGTGTGACCAAGCTCGTCCAAGCTTTAGCCAACCAAGGTTATCATCCCTTGGTTGTTGGTCCTATAATTTTTCAAAAAGAAAGTCAGCTAAGACCTAAGCCATAGCTTTCGACTAAAGGCAAATCTCTTTTTACCAGGACTCATTCTAAGCGATAAGCTATCTAAAAAGCTTGTGATATTTTTAATTCATACGTTTCGAAAAGGACACATGTTTTGAGAACATATATGTAGGAAATGGAAAAATAATATGAAACCTTATACATTTATCAAGTACTTTCGGCAAAAATGTAGGCAATTAGTTGCCTACATTTTTGCCAAAAGCAGCTAATAAATTTATGCTGCACGTTATGCTCGAATTCGCTGCAGGTCAAGCGCCCTTGAGGTACTTGCTTTATTCGAAACTCCATATGCCTTTTTAAAAAAGCACGAGTCTCTTCTATCCGAGAAGTCAAAATTAAATTCGGTATGTTTTTTTATGTAGCGGTTGAACGTGATCGTGTAAAAATTGAAAATCAGTACACCCCGTAGAATGCAAACACCGTGTCCCAACGAATGAGATCAAACCCTTTCAATTTGCGCGAAAACGTATTTCGAGAAAAATCACATTAGATACACCACTTTTGTCTTTTCAAAGTTGACAAAAATTGATGAGTTCTTTTGTGAAGAACGCCCTTGTTTGCGACAAATCATTGATTGCACATCCCGAATGAAGTAGCAAGTTTTTGCAATTGGCTAACATCCGTGAAGTCTGTGTGTTGGCTTATTTAGGTCGCTCAACGCGAAGACTAATATTTACAGTTGCTTGTACGGGTCGTATAAAAAAGTTAGGCAAGCGAGTTTGAAACTTTACAGAGTATATTTTATATTCAAAAATAGAAGGACTTTGAGTGCAGTCAACAAGCAAGTTAGAGCGTTTTCATTATGTAATATGATTATCTTATTAAGCGAATTTGAAGCTTGCATAAAGATGCATGATGCAGAGCTCGCACATATTAAAAACAAGTGATATCACCTCAGGTGCATCGGAGCGCAATACTGTTGAAGTAGTAATGCAAAAGCAATGTTTGATAGTAATAGCAACATTGATGTACGGAGATACAGATTACGAGAGAGAAGCAGAGAGTAGCCGAAAAGGGAGAGAGAATGGAAAGGGAAAGCGAGCTGGAATATAGAGCAAAGCGATAAGGTAGCTGATGCCTCGAGGGAAATACCAGAGGCAGAATAACTGGATGTCGGTCGGGAGTAGTTCGCGAGAACATTAAAATTTTAATGCAAATAAAGCGTAACTCCGCACCCGATAGATATATCCGCAGTGTAGTCAACGCGCAAAACTCACGGAACAACTATTTGCAGTGTATCGCGTTGGCGTCATCAGTCAGTTTCCGCGAACGAGAAAGACCGCATCAATTCGAGAACTCCCCGTAGCCTCCTCGTTTCAAAAATTTTAACCCTCCTCGTCTATGCTCCCCCTTCTGCTACAATCAACTTCAAATTGATTTTCAAGCTCATTAATAGGCATTCAGCAGTCAGAGCTTAGGTGAATGACTCTTCTGACCCTCGTTTATTGTTCCCTCCTTCGGCGCTTACTTCAATTGTTCAGACTATTTGCGTCCTTCAAAATGACTATTATTGAATTATTGTTAATCTATTACAATTTTCTTGTACCTTTTTCAAAATTGTTGAATTGTTTTCTTCGCCCTTGTAAACTTCGGGACAGTAATGTATAGATATATGTTCTCCGAAAAGGGCACTACACATCAAGAAAAGAATTTGATGAAAATTTGACTGAAGAAAGATATTGTTGGTGCTAGGGACAACGTGACAAATGCAAATATTTCAAATTGCAGTTAAGATATATAAAAAGCTTCTACAATAAGTTTTTAGCAATCTCTCAACTCTTATAGTCTAATTGAAACTGCTAAAAATCCCATAACTATTGGCGTGTTATACGCTAATTTCAATTTAGTTGTTTTTATCGTTACTCGGTGGATTCCATTAGCCACTACATAGCGTTTTCTCGGATTGCGGATCGAAAACGGCCCCTGAATTTAATTGAACGGTTTTAAGGTTAACTGCGAATATAAGAATAAACATTAACGGACAGCCAATAGGATATAATCATAGATGCATGGTGGACCTGTACTGGTTTAAAATAGCTAGACGATATCCCTGGTATGAAGCAACCCACCTATTTGCTTAGTTATGCAATAGGTGGGATTATCGATCGTCTTGGGAAGCAAAATTTAGCTACATAGAACGACAAGCCGAACCAAAACCAATTTGAAAACGAAAAATCCTGGTGCCAACTCAAGCACCTCACCGATCACAACGAGTGAAAGGAAGTGTGGAATGATTCGCCTGTAACGATAACGATAACGTGATAACAATGTCAGTGTATGTCGCACTGTCACGTAGAGGGACGATAGGTCATACTAATGAAACCGTCATGTGCTTATTGATAGGTTGATATGTTTCTTATCAAAGTTGGAAAGCTTTTATACTCAGACCTAGCTAGGCTACTACTCTTTGGAGAATGGATTCAGCTGCATTTAAAATTGGATCTCTAACAGTATTATGGATAACGTTCGAAACCTAAATGGAAAACGGAAACAATAAAAGAAAAATAAAGGTGGTAACTTAAGCAATTCTAAGTTTATATACCAAAAGATTTAATGAACTAAGATAGCGAATATCAGCACTCCAGGAAACACCAGAGCATATTTTCTAAGAATGACTTCACGATTTACTACGACTACGAAGAAGCTGAAAAGCACGAGTTTTCTCATTAACAAAAAAGAAACTGTTAAGGATTTATCGATATATCGTACCATCCGTTAATGATCCACTATAGGACATCTTGAAAATTATTTCCATAAACAATTGCTGATTAACGCCGTTGCCCTAACGAACGAGGATAACAAAGATCTCTATCAGGTAATTATATTAACAAGTTTTCCTCTGTATGAAAGATTATACAAAAGAGCATATTTGGATTTGGATGATACAAATTTTAGGTTATTTGGATAATTATGTCGACTTACTCCGATACGACTAAAAGACGGTGGCTAAAAATGCAAATGTCTTGATCACAAAAACCGAAGAGATAAATTTAGAAATTAATGAATCGAAAACAAAGTATATGATCGTTGACAATGGAAGCCTAATTTATTGCCAACCAGGGTGATCTAGTGATTGGGAATACAAAATTGATAAAGTTGATGAGTTCAAGTATCCGATAACTAGTGACAATAATACTGAAATAGAAATCAACGAGCTACGTCGGTACCACGTACTATTACGCAACAAAGATAGTAATGGCGATCACATTCAAGAAATATAGAACACCGGTCGTCGTGTACGAATGGAAAACGTAAGCATTGACAAATAAAGAGGAAAATAGATTGACAGTATTAGAAAAAAAATTAGAAATATCTATAAACCAAAGAGGAATGAAAAAATCAGTAACTGGAACAAACTACATAATGATAAAATCTTTATGGGTCTCATAAAAGTGATAGCACAATGAAAGCACCTAAACTTAGACGGGTGGGGCATGAATGGGCGATGAAAAGATGGTCCGAGTTGAAAGTTAAAAGAACTAAAAAACTGATACGATTACTCAAATTGGATAAAAGTTAGACAGGATAGAGATGCGTGGCTGTCTCGGATAGAACAGGCAATCGACTTTCGCGTTTCGAATGCTAATGAATGATTATAATAAAAATTTGCTTTTATCGCTGCGAATTGAGGAAAGGATAGCTGCAGCAAGCGGTAGATGAGAGAGAGAGAGAGAGAGAGAGGGGCGGTGACGAATGGGTAACGAAAGCGAGGGAGGATTCGATGAGGTAAGAGTAATGAGTGGCATATCGCGCAAGCTGACCTCGTCGGGAGTGTGGTCCTCGGAGTCAAGGGCGATGTTGGGAACGCAGCTGCCGCGCGGCGATCTTTGGCGGTCGATGCCGAGTCTGGGAGCCTCGGCCGCGGGTTCGCTCGAAGCGAGGGATGCCCTCCTGCTGCGAGCTGCTGGCTGCTGCAGCTGCTGCTGCTGAGCCGAGGTCGACGCCGAGGTCTGCGACGGGCCAGTAACGCTGCGCGACGCCCGTCGGCGCCGCGATGACGTGCTCCGGTGCAGCATTGCCGCTAGCGCATGCTAACGCGTCAGTTCTGCAACACATGACAATCGGTAGACTGTGAGCAAAGCAAATTTATCGTTCAGTTCTCGCCGCTGGCAGGGTTCGTGTGAAATAAAAAGAGCACGGCTGTAATTAGTTGCGTAATAGCAATGGCACTTTATTGAAAAAAGTTGAAGTTGTGCCGCAGGCCGGGGCAGCCCATTTTGGCGGCTTCGGCAAACATGCTCATCACAGAATCGAGAACTTGTTCGGTGCTGGCAATAATTTGCTTGGCGGAAAGGATGAAGCAATATTTTTTGTGCTCTTAGAGTTCCTAAGTAAAAGTTCGAGATCGTTCAAGCGTTGCCTTACTCCCACTCGAGCGAGCTTCCACTGGAGACGTCTGCGATGCTTCCATTCCATCAGTGGATTTCATTAGACTTGATAACGTAATTACTCAATATACATGTCAAGCGAGAAATCGATCGACTCGAATATACTTACACAAGCCTCGAACTTGGTGTGGAATCGGTACTTTGTGTCGTGCCTCCGGCCAAGAGCTTTCGTCGTCTTCTAAGCTATCGATTTCTAAAATGGTCATTAATTAAAGTACTGAGCTACTGCACTAGCAGCCAGAAAAAGCGCTGCTCAAAAAAACCTTACGGATTTTTCGTGATTGACGAGTTGCCCGTGAGTACAGCTCCAAGCAAACATGACTGACTGCACGTAACTATGGAAGGCGATGCACCTAAAGAGTTTGTCGACGATCGATTCAACGTACTTGAACATACTGTCATTCAAAAGCCCCATTACAGTCGGGGTCGATGGCCATGTATATCGTCTTGTTATTCACTAATCAGGCTTTATCACAGACACATAGTCAATCGAAATTCATGTAAAGAGTCCAACTGCGAATCTGAGATAAACTTAGGGTTTGCTGCGTATAAGCATAGTCGTCGGCAATGAACGCGAGCAAGGAATACTAGTTGTGAGTTGGACGCACCACCACTGCATACCTGACAAGGAAAATATTGATGAGCTAAGTAACAGTGGTCAGCGAAATACGCCTACCTTAAATGCTATCAACTTCGGGCCAACGGACGCAAGCTGACATAAAACTCTATTGCACAAGCTTTCTTTTTTTCTGTATTTTAGAATAAAATAAAAGAAAAACACTAAAAGTTAATTTAGTTAGAATGTAATAGAAAAGTCTCTCTTCGTTTGGATAGCTTTTATAGATGTGTTATATATATCAACCATCAAAACGTTTAAGAGAACGATATCTCGTCAATTAAATCGCGCACCTCATATCTCCAACATCTATTAAATTACTGAATTCGACTAGCTCGCTCGGGACCACCGTTGAATTAAGTCCGCAGTATCGAGCACTTGCCTTGGCTTAATCCAATATGATTACTATAGAAAATGTTTAATCGGTTCAACCACTAGCCCTAACTCTCTCGGATGGCATCTCCAACTGGCAGCTTCGCCTGAAACATATAGTTCTTGTCTTGAACGTAAAGCTCATCTTTTTACAAAACTCGTAACGGGCAAGTATTGTAAACATGACCTTTCGTACTCTACAAAAAATATACGATTCTTCAATTTTTCATTGCAAAGTGTAATGTTCAATCAGTTATCCCACAATCAAAGCGTTATCATTATCACTTAATCGTTCGATAAAAAAATGTTTGATCGCATATATGCATTTTATTTTTATTACTAGACACCACTCGGATTTTCATGCTTAGTTCAAAACATGTTTGTTATGATAACCACTTCGAAGAGTCATTGGTGGTAAAATCGCTGTGCAATTATTCATCAAATGTAAAAATAAAATACAATATTTGAGGATAATTTAAAAGTTAATTAGGTAGTGACTATTCATAATTAGTTTCTGACATACAAGAACCAGAAAGCTTGTCCATTAGCGATTGAAGGGTAAGAAACACGTATGGAATGAATTTGTTTTATTGCATATTTTAGACTCTATATTTTAAATTTGTTCAAGAACGTGATTTTCACAGTAACTTGAGAAACTGCAAACTTTCTTTCCACCCGGTCTGAAGAACATTCACGGCTCAAGTTCTTTGAATAACAAAGCCCAATAGAGGTATACGTGGTACTACTTTTGAAAGCGTATCAAAATAATGACAGTGTACTTCTAGAATAGTGACGTTATTCAGCCTACTTAGGTAAGTAGTTTGACTGCAAGCAGCCATACCATTTGGAATGATTTTATTGAAAGAATTCGTTTAAAATTATTAACACGCATACTTTCCTCATCCAATTTCGGCAAATGGTGTTTGATTTGAATGTAGTTGTTCATGAAGCTTCGATCAAAATGTTCATTCGTCAATGTGGTACTTTTACAGGAAGTAGGCGTTGCTCTGGGAGAAATGGTTGAAGTGCTTTTACACACTGAAAATGGACTCTCTCGCGTGCTTAAATAAATGGCCAAGGCCTGAGTAACTGCGCTGTGGCAGTAGACAAAGACAAATGGGAGAACAAATGTGGTTGATTCTCTGGATCAACGAAAATAAAACCAAGAGATAGATTGTCCATCGGCGGGCAAGACGAGTTTGGTAATGACTGAATTGGCGAGGACGTCGCTATGGGAGGTGCGCAGTGACAAGCGAAGAGAGGTCGTTTACAGCTGAGGGCGCAGACTGAATTGAGCGCAGCGAGAGCTCGGCTGAGCGATTGCATTATTTGGCAATGACAAAGGCAAGTGACTTAAAACAATGTTGGGACCGTAACCGCTGGCGCGCCGCTCGCCAATTTGCCCGTGGATGCGCGCACGCCGCCGAAAAGTATATTTCAGCTGGTTGCCCAACCAATCGCCACTGTAAACTAATTGATCGAAAATCTAGCGGGTCGCGCCTGCTGCGCCTGCTGCGCCTGGGCACGCCTACCCTAGAAAGCTTTCCGACCGAAGGCTCGCATATCGCTGCTCGACGCTGCTAATGAACATTTCCAGACGAGCGGCTAGTGCGACAGACACTGGCTCGCGAGCCGCGATATTTTCTCATTTTCAGCATTAACATCGGCACCATCGGGGAGGGCAGCCAGTTGCAAACTATTTTCACGCGACAATGCAGCCGGCCCACAGTTAGTTTAACCCGCGTTGCGGCAGCTCGTTAAAAATTGTTGCAGACAGGGGCAGAGATGCAATCTCATTAATTTGTAGCGGCAATTGTTTTTTCCAATGAAAATTACGAGTGACTAAGCTGAAAGCTCCATAGCGACGCGGCGCTGGCAGCTTGTTAATTAAAAAAGAAATGGAAAGTAAAGGGGCGCTCCGAAAGAGACGTTTCCGGCAACAAAGGTCCTTTAATCAAAAGACTTGAATAGCACAGCTAAAAGCTGTAGCGGGCACAAAGCCAAGTGCAGTTTTGCAGCTTTGGCCGGACAATGGAAGGTGACGGGATTGCGAGGCTCATTATCAATTCGTCCGGCAGACGGACTAAGATTCGCATTCGCTCGCGCGCTGCGCCGACCACGCTGCTGCGTGCGCGCCTGCACTGCAGCTGGCTAGATAGCAATTGCCATTAGATATGCAGCGCGTGCCAGCCAATTACGCTAGGACTTCCGCTTGCCGCTGGCTGGCGCGGCTACCGGCATATTTCGCGCCACTCCGACAACTCTCCATTCCATTGTAAACCTCTGTCGATATTTATCAATGGCACCCCTTTCTCCAGCGAATCAGCAAACAACTTGCGAACTTTGAGCAACAATGCGGCAGCTTTCTCTCTCTCTCTCTCTCTCTCTCTCTCTCTCTCTCTCTCTCTCTCTCTCTCTCTCTCAAGTGATCGATACATCCAACCTTCTTTTGAAGCATAATTCTATGACCGTGAACAAGTGTTTTCATTTACCTATTGTATACTTTCAAGTGAGCAGCCTTTCTCTGCCAATTTTTAAAAATGCCTATAATCTGTACAAACATTTCCATATCAGTAGTTCATGATATTAACCTAGTGCCCTATATGCCCTAGACTAGTGCTTAGCTGTAGGTATTAATCATCAGTCAACATAACGGAAATTTTCTCTTGTTTATAGGAATTATGTAATAATTTGTAACGCACATACGTAAAAAATACATAACATTGAAATTTCATCATACAAACTGTTAAAGATTCTTCGCTGTGTTCATTATTCTAGTTATACATACACTTTCCAGTGCTTTGGTGATCTATTGAATATTTTATTAGCAACAACATAACTACTGTTTTTATACATCGTTTTGTTAATTTCAAGAATTGTTGATTCTTGTTTTGCTGTTATTGAGTTATTACATTTTGTACATAATTTATCATAACGATAGCATAATGATTCTCGTGCATTCTTACATAATTTTAATCTATCGCACTGGATAATTTTCCGCGGTAAATTTATCTTCACAAATTATTTTCAGAAATTTGTATTGTAAGGTTTGAAGTGGGTATAAAATACTTATTTCAACACCTCCCCATTGCTGAATTCCGTAATTCGCAATCCTATAAAAATATCTATGGCCCATTTGTAGCAGAATTTTTGTACTAGTAGATTTTGATAATTTATAAAAAATAAATGCCACAGATTTAGTGATTAATATGACTAGACCATACTGAGAAATTATAGTAAGAAATTACGTGAAGATATTACGATTAGCCTATATTCTTTTAATGATTGTCTTATGAATTGTAATCTCAATATTTACAGGTACTTCATGGCAACCAAAAGTCATATAGTCTGTTTTATGAATGTTCAATGATAACTTTTGGACATTTAATCAGCTAGAGCTATATATGAAAGTAATTAATTCATTTTATCTATAGTGATATCCCAACTGATATTACAGCAGACTCATCTGCGTATGCTAATGCAGAACCATTCGATATATTTTGAAACAAGTCATTAGCATACAATATAAACAAAAGTGATCCTCGAATTGTACGCTGTGGAATTCCAAATCCGATCGTTTGATAGTTACTAATTTTATCATTTAATCTAATTCTTTGTTTTCTAGGGGATAGATAACTCGTAAAAAGGTCATCTGCTTTGCCTCATATTTCCTATCTATACAATTTTTGCAGTAAAGCATTGTGATCCACCGATTAAAAGGCTTTAACCCGATCCAATTATGTTACAGTTGTCGGAACAGCATCATCAATGTTTCCAATTCCGTGGTTGTTCATAAGTTAAATTCGAGAATTCATCAAGTTAAGGCTATTATAGGGTACGCGATATTATTGCGAATACGTGTATTCGATAAGTATATTACGGTTCTTTTGATATTGCACGTTATCGAAACAGTCCGGTAGGAAAAAAAATAGTGGTGGTTAAAAATGTAGCAATATTAAAGGACGATTCCAGAAACAAAATGTACTATCGTTGTTTGCGTGAATGTTTTGCGAAGATGATATCGTGCAGATCAATTGAGTGGAGAAAACGGCAAGCTTCAAGAATATTTGCATTTTGAAAAAATACGACTTTCTGAGATATTACGTACGTATCTAGTTTACAAAGTAAACATCGTCGCGGTACTTGGCATGCAGTATCAGAGTAACTGCCTAAGGTTTCAAATGCAGTATTACTTGCATCTCGTCTTCCGTTCTATGACTTTTATCAGCCAAAGTATTCGATATTTGGATGCCATCGCGGAAAAACTATGTGGAAACGTAATTTTTCCTCGAAAACTTATTGCACACAGAACGCACGTCGTTTATAAAAAATATTTTACAAGTTGTTTTGATAGATTTTGACCGATAAAATGCCACAAGTCAATTTGTTCTTCATGACTAGCAATATAACTTGATGAAATGTCTTTGGATTGGTTTAATATTATTCAATTGTATTTACAGTTGTGTTCCACAAAACGACATGGATTAACGTCGTGGTATATTAATGAACGTAGGACGATAAGTTGAGTAGCGACCAAGTTAGAAGCTGGAATGCGAGACGGCGAACCAAATAAGCTGATTGATTGGACTTACTGGTTGGAGTTGTCATCCGGGTATGAAAGCTTTGCGAAACG